AGAGAGAGAGAGAGAGAGAGAGAGAGAGAGAGAGAGAGAGAGAGAGAGAGAGAGAGGGGAAGCAGGCGGATGTGGGATTGCAATCTTCTTTGTCTTTTCTCAGTGCTTGTATATAAAATTTTGGCTCGGAGCGAGACGCCCTTGCTTTGCATTTTGACATTTCTTTCGGCTTTGTGTGATGTATGACTCAATCTTTGTCCTCCCTCTTTCGTTATGCATTCGATTGACGAGATGGGTCCAATAGTCTTGTAATACGTGATGTTTTGCGTGTAATCCTCAATCATCCCGCGCTTGCAGCACCGATCTATTCTCACCTGGATGATTGGAAGGTGAAAGGAGTCTGATACTGTGTGTCTGGATGCGACGAGTTATCCCTCTGATGGCCACGTGACTGTTTTTTGCTCGAACAAGAATGGCTGAGCGATTATTGCATGACCACATAAACCTTCTTTTGCATAGATGATTGGTTGGCGGATCCATCCACAACGGACCAACCCTGCCAGTCCCCGTGTAAGTCCGATCTGACGAGTGCGACTTACAGGCGTACCCGCGAGGGCGGCCCGCAACCCCGAATGGGCTCAGCACGACAAATCTCGACGTAAATGATGAAATCTTCATCTGCAATACGGGTCGGGACAAATTAAGGCCCGACGCCAGACGGGGACCACTGGGTGTGCATGTTGTGCGAATGTCCAACACGGAATAGATTGATAGCTTGAGGGAACTAGCTGCATGGTTGAGCCGGTACGCAGACGGATCGTCCTTGAATATTTGCGCGGTTTAGGATCTGACCAACTGAGAGAAGGTTAACAACAGTCGTATTTTTCATCACCACTTCAAGACACCCTTCACCACTTCAGGATGCAGCTTGCCTAAACAGGTGGTTTTCAGGGTCTTCGGACCTTTCACCACTTTAGGACCATTCAAGATTTTCAGACTGCCCAAAGCTCTCACTTCACCACTCCAGGATGCAGCCTGCTTAAACAGGTGGTTTTCAGGGTCTTCGAACCTTTCACCACTTCATGACCATTCAGGATTTTCAGACTGCCCAAAACTCTCACTTCACCATTTCAGGATCCAACTTGCCTAAACAGGTGGTTTTCAGGGTCTTCGGACCTTTCACCACTTCAGGACCATTCGGGATTTTCAGAATGCCAAAAACTCTCACTTCAGAATTTTCATTCCTGAATTTTCAGCAAACCATTAACCGCTTGTGGACCAATTGGCCAGTGCGCACGCGCGTATAAAACAGCAGCCGGCTGCGGACTTGCCATCTATACGCGCACCTGCAAAAGCCAGCTACGACCTCGCCCCGTAGGAAGATGTGTGTAAACGAAACATGGAGACAGATTCCCCTATTTGGATCACTGGTTGCGAAAGCCTGAGGGACCCAGAATACAGAGCGTATTGGGAGAGGGAACAGATTCGCCGGCAGCGGATCCGACAACATCGCCACCTACGGAACCCTGGGTACCTTGAGTACCCCTCTGGGACTGCAAACGACTTCCAGCTGGCAATCAACCGAGATCCACGGATACCTGATTGTCCCGACAGTCGAAACCAACAATATCTTCTAACCCTAGGCTTCGTTGCCATCACCACTGACTTCGCCCCCTACTATACCGTCCCCCCTTACCACCCGTTACTCGTGGTCCCCTGGGATTCCGTAGCCCGATTCTGGCCCCGACCGCCGTGCTCGGAGTGTCGGCAGCCCGGCGAGCATCGGAAGGCGAGGGTTGCGCGATGAGCCCACCCCAGCACCGAGCGACGAGAACCCAGCTTGTCTTCGTCGGACCCCGAAACTTGCGACGGCCGACAGCGGTACGAACACTCCCACAGAGACTCCCGTAATACCCCGCCCCGACCCAGGCAGCACGATCGATCATCATCCCAACTCTGAGCCAGAAGACACTTGCACTCCTGCCCCCGAGACTTACCACAAGAGATCTTAGTTCGAGGTGGGACTCCACCCCAAATCCCCAAAAATCCTTGGCACACCCCTTTTCGCACTTCCGGGGCCCCATCCCACTCCGATTAGGAAGTCGCGTTGGGCGTGAGGTTGGGCGTCACACCGGAGGGGAGGCACAGTGACTGGCCCATCGAAGAAGCTCGGTCCTGATGCTACCAGCTGACCCCTGGCCGGTATCCCCCACCTGCAGTAGCAGGTATCGCACCTGCTGGTGGGTGCAGCTCCCGCATGTTCCCTCGTTGGAGGCTTGAGCACGGATGTGGCTGCTACGGGGTTCCCCGTAATACTATAATGACAATAAAAAAGGCCTGAAAGCCCGTCCTGTCCAGATTTGACAGGTAATTGAATTGNCCTGCTGGTGGGTGCAGCTCCCGCATGTTCCCTCGTTGGAGGCTTGAGCACGGATGTGGCTGCTACGGGGGTCCCCGTAATACTATAATGACAATAAAAAAGGCCTGAAAGCCCGTCCTGTCCAGATTTGACAGGTAATTGAATTGGTTAGGCTTAAAGGTTTTTTTTTTTTTTTTTTTTTTTTTACTTCAGGTGTTTGGTTGTCATTCCTGGTCGAACAACGGTCTTGTCCGCTAGACCATGGGACAGGAGGCCCATGACAACCTCCAACGGTTGTGCGGTGCCGTTGCGGTTGCCCCTGCATTCCCTCCACCGGGGCGTTTCGGCTGGCGTTTGAAGGCGGCCGTTGCAGGGGTCCGTGCGGAGGCAGCTGAGATGACCGTTGGCGGGGACGTTCGAATTGGAGCACGGGATGTCCACTGTGCCCATCGGTCCTCGCACCTTTCCTCGGTCAGTCATCACGTGTGCTCCCGTATATTGCAGCCCTCTGTCTTGTTGAAAGGTGCCAGCTCCATTCCTTGTACTTTACAGGATGAGCACATGGCTGACATGGTGAGGAAGACGACTCTATTCATTTTCCTACTTGAGGCTTTGGCATTGGTGATCATTCTGCACGTCTGACGTCTGGCCGACAATTGCAGCTGACGTCGAAGGACAAGGGGTTCGAAGAAGCTTCAATAGGCTGCTTTGGCGAGCATAGGTATGGGCGATGGATACAGAAGGGGGGCACAGGGGTATGG